ATTTGAACCGCTTTAAAGTATTTAGCCTAACTCCCTTTTCCCAGGGTGCCATCTTTCATCTATGTCATTGAATTTTGAAAATATATAAATGGCGCGAAAATCTGGATAAATCATGGAGGGAAAATAGAAACACAAACATGAAACATTTTTAATAAAAAGACTGCACATTTCATCATTGTTTTAGCTTTACATTTTCTTTTACTTTTCTTTTCTTTCATAGCTTAATGACTTTTTGATAATAGTATTAAAGAGAAGAGAAAAAATATACACATAAGCGCTGGCAAAATGTAAATAAAATGTTTGTTACATACAGATATATAAAATTGAGAATTTCACATTTTATTTTATTTTTTTTTAATATTCTTTAGTCCTCAGAATAATTTTATAACGAAAACTAACGTGACAACTCAAAAAAGTGGGAAGCAAGACTTATTCCGCAATCTTTTCTAAAAAAAACATAATTATAATATGGAATTGAAAAATAAAATTTCATATATTGGAAATGTTTAAAATTGTCTAAAATACCAAAATATAAAGTACCTACTAACATCCAATAAGATGACAAATCTCTTATTTAAGCAACCAAGTGATATTTAAATAGTTTTTGTATCCAAAAGCAAGAGACAATTTGGGATTGTTTGAACTCTGACCTATCCTGCCTCATATTTGGTATAAATATTTTCCCAAATATTTAGACATTAATCAAAAATTTTCACACCTCCAGCAGAGCAAAACACCGTCTCTTCCCATTCACCTCCTGCCCGGATCAACAATCCTGAGGGTTTAGTTTTGTTGAATTTGTTTTCCGTGTTTGGGTAAATGTTTCGTATTGTTGACATTTGCTGGTCATGAAAAGTCATTAAATATATTTCTCTAATTTATCTTTCGACTGTGGCAGCTTCGTTCGGTGGTGGTAATGGCATTAAAGTAAAGTTGGGCAAAGTGAAAAGAAAGCGGAAATGTTTGTCTGGCCACCAATGCTCGGTTTGGCTTGGTCTTGGGACCTCTGAGGTCTGATCTCCGACCACCAGCCCTTCAACCCTTTCCTGCCCACTAATTAAAACTAATCCCGAGGAAAGGACCCAGCCATAAAGGGTGTTGTTATACTTTTCGCATAACTGTCAATCAGTCCCACAATTAAATGATTGAAGACACTCAACTCGGGCTTAGTTTTTGTGAATGTATCCCTTATAAGTTCAAGCTGAATCTTGAGCAATGAGATTTATACAACTATGTGGAGCTGGCTTTTTGTTGGCCGGAGCTGAGCTGGTTTAGTTTGAATGCATATCAAGTGGATGCAGATACAAAATGTTTTCATGAGAAATTGACTTTTTCCATTGCTCCAAAGACGACGTCGTCGTCAGATGTCTGTTGGCTGTTGTCTTCCTTTGGCCGGAATGATTAATGGTTCTGCTCCTTGCGCATTCGTCGGCCCACACCAGCGGCAACAGAAAGACATCCCCATCCACATCCAGCATTTGTTGCTCCGACTGTATCTGTATCTTTTTGTGCCGCTGAACGAGAATTTCTACTGCATCGCAGCGCGCATCAGCATTTGGCGTTTTTGGCTACTGAGCCGCCTTGCCATTGTCTCCCAGTTTTTATTGTGGCTCCCCCCATTTTCGATTGAATTCGCCTCGGTACTTGCAGATACTTGAGCTTATCGCCTGGCCTTTAAAGTTTCAGCCAACTCGTTGTCGCTCAACCGCAGAGCGCTCACATAATTTAAGGCCAAGTCAAGGCAAAAGTTCCCCATACCCGGCTAGACCGACCGAAACCAAACCTGCAAGATAAATTGAGGTCATTTTTTGCCAGTGGCCAGTGGCCACCTTTGGTCAGTCCGGTGTCCGGGTTCCAGTTGGGGTTACGTTGGGGTTTGGGGCTCGGACTTGGGTTGTCCACCTTGTTGACCGGCCACAAATGTCCTTAATGTGCATCCTTATGGACTGCGGTCATGTGCAAGTGGTCGAGATGGTCGAGCCCAAAAAATGCTGCCCCTCCCCAACTACTTACGTAAGTATTCACGAGTAGTTAGCGTTAGGCAAACAGCCACGAGTGTACAATTCATTCTGAAAACTCCCTGGCATGTGAGTGGGGATCGGGTGATTTAGATGGTGAGGTGGGTACAAGTACACTGGAAAGAACGATCAACCATAGTAAAATCTGATTATATTTAAATAAATAAATTTGTTTTATTAAATAGTTTTCAAAGATAATTAATTAAAGTTTAGTTTTCGGATATTATGCAACCAGATCTTATTACTTTTAAAGACCTTATAGGTTTCTTTCTTTTTCAAAGCTTAATATATCCGTACCAAGAAGAAAATATTAAATTCACAATATTTTTAAATCTGTTTGGGGTAGTTATATCATATATTTATAATTATTTTCTACTTTGCAATTGATTTATGCATTTTTTGTCAAATTAAATTTTCATGATTTTACCGGATGAATGAATTAGATAAATCGAAGGACTCATTTCTCCGTGTGTAATGATTTTAATAAGAGTTTTTAGCAAAAAAAGAGAACATACCGTCCACCTTTGACCATTTGTGCAATTGTTGCAAAATTTACGCTCATTTTAATTTCAGCCCAAAAGAGCGGCAAATGCGTTAAATGTTCCGCTTTTGACCAAACTCTTTCCTGCCCCGGCTACTTGACTGTTTTTTGCAGGGCAAGTTCAGCCCGAAATATAAACATAAATCCTGTCCTCCAGCAGGAGAGGTGGTCGAAAGAAAGGTCCTGTTGGTGGACAACGAGTGCGTTTAAGTGTTAACATGTAAATGATGCTGTTGAAGCAGTTAATAAGTGTATGCCAAGGGCTGTAAATCATCAGGAGCATTTCCTTTCCTTTCCTATCCGTCTGACCATTGAAATTAATTTTATTTGCAGACCGAAACGGAGATTTACGAGCAAATAATAACCAAGTGATGATTGCGAGTATTAAACTTAAGGATTTCTCTGCCTCTAACCTAATCCAAGAGCAGCTGCAAAGTATCCTTCGCTCGTAGTTTGCTGATAAGTTTCCATTCTGACTTTTCCGGCATTTCATCCATGCTGATGACATTTCCAATGTCTCCCCAGTCTCCCCTCAGGCCGTGACAAAACAAAATTCATTTTGTAATTTCCAAGCCACCTCGAAAGGGCCAAAACCAGCCAGCTGTCATTTGGGGGGAGTTGGGCTGGCTGGTTGGTTGGCTGGTTGGATTCCATTTTGACCAGGCTGCAGAAATTGCACTCAACTTGGCTGCCTAGCATCTTTCCCACTCCCGCCTTCCGCCCACTGCCACGCCCCCGCCCTCCGATTCGGGTTTAGAAAATTATCTTTTTGCTCGTCGTCGCCAAAAAGGAAATCATATTTTCTGCTTTTGTGCACTTTACTTTTCAGTTTTCGTTGGCTGCCGTTGGCTGCTCGTAAACAGTTTTCGGGTGCAACTTTTGTGCGAAATTTATGCTTTCATTCCGTATCTGTATCTGGGCACTTTTCGCACAAGTACATGCGACTTGGGTCTGGGAAAATGGAAGTGGGGAATGGGAAATGGCCCTCCTCCAGGAATTTTCTCTCTGTGTGCTGTGTGTGTCCCACCAGGTGGTGTTTATGGCATCCGCTCTGCGAGTATTGATGAAGGAACTCGGGCTCGCATCTGTAATTCAATCAGTGTCTATGTCTGGCTCCTCGTCCTGCCTCCTCGTCCTGCTGCTGCCAGGATCCTTTTCCTTTCGCCATTTGCCGCTATTGAGACCCTGTTTACGCAGCTCGTTCAGCTGGAAATTCCGTGCTTGTTGCCAAAAGGCAAAGTGGCGAAAAAGTACAAAAATATTTTGCAATCGCATCAATGCAAATAAGGTGGCAGAAGTTCGACAACGGGAAAAAGGTAACGAAATGTTCAGCTTCCTAAAATGATATGCGCATTTCTTTACTACTCGATGCGAGTTTTATTTTGGGGAAATTTATTTTCGGTGAGTTTATGTCCCAGGCCGTTGGAGCAGAAACAACTTTCCAGATCCCTATCATTAGAACTTGTTCACGTTTTGGCTAAAGCAGCTAGGTAGCTTTTTGGTAGTTTTGATTTATAAAATTAATCTTTTTGGTAGGGTATAAAAATGGTAGGTGCGGGTCGATTTTAAAATTCTCCTTCTTTAAAAAAAAAAAATATATATAAATGTTTTAAGAAGGAAATTTTTATTAACCGGTTCCACTTTTCATAACCAAAAAAAAAATTGTTACGAAATGGCAACAAATGTATAAAACTAACACTATCTGGTTAATTTAAGAATTATAATCTCATTAAAGTATTCGATCCAGTTAAACTTTTTAATAAATCCTATTTAAATTATAAAATATAAGTAAGACCAAAATAAACATTTGTACCATTTCATAGACCCGCCAAGCAAAATTAAATAGAAAACCCACTTCCTATTTAATTAACAGCTTTTTGTTTGTCAAAAATAATTAAAAAAATTTCGTGTTTGTTATTCAAATTAAGTTTTCCCTCGCTCCCCCTGGAAGCTATTTTCCATCGAAGCTGCTGGCTGAGGCTTCTGTTTGGTAGCCAAACTACTTGAGAGCCCTGCTGTGGGCATGTCTTTCGCTCACTGATTGATTGATTAGATTTTTGTTAATTACTTAACGCTCGAGATGCGAGTGTCGCGACTCGGCGGCGAAGGAAAACCGCTCGAGCCGGCATCAGCTGCACTTTTTGGCAGATACGCTGTAGAATCCTGAAAGTTTTCTTATCTAGTTGGGCGAGTTTCGCTGAATTAGTTATGCTCTCTGACGAGCTGATAGATTGATTACGGGCGGAGGTAGGGTGGTGGAATCCTTGAATCCCAAGTATCACAGCGAATGCAATCTGTTGACGAATGTACCATGGCCACGCCCACACGGGGACATGTTGGAGGAATAAACTCCTCCGAGAAATAAACAAAGAAAAATCGAAAAATTTCACATTCACTCTGCAAGTCTCTCAAACGAACAAAATGCAATTTCTCAATTGCAGCTGAATTCGTTCCAGAAAACGGCCTGCCCCGACGACTCCGCACCGCGTACACCAATACCCAGCTGCTGGAGCTGGAGAAGGAATTCCATTTCAATAAATATTTATGCCGCCCAAGGAGGATCGAGATAGCAGCCAGCCTGGACCTAACGGAGCGACAGGTGAGTGCTCGGCATCGGCAATGCAATTTATTCCGCTGCACTCGGACGGAGAATTCCATTACTCCGCTGACAAATTGCTCACTGGCTGCAGTTCTTCCCTCGGTTTTCCCACATTTAATTGCACACACCTTGACGGAAGTCTAACTAATCCCATCTCGGTTGCAGGTAAAAGTTTGGTTCCAAAACCGCCGCATGAAGCACAAGAGGCAAACGCTCTCGAAAACGGACGACGAGGACAACAAGGACAGCCTCAAAGGTGACGATGATCAGTCCGATAGTAGTAAGTAAAAAATCATAATTTTCAATACTGTATAATTAGCTTAGAATGTGGATTAAAAATTTCCATTATTAGATAAAATATTAGACAAAGTAAATCATCAAAATGCAATCGTTTGAATTTCACTGAATTATTTTTACTAAACCTAGAAAGTCGTTAAGTTTTGAAAATGTTGAGGTTGAGAAAATGAAATACAAAAGTTGGTTAAATAATATATTTCTGTTAGTAATGTGTAAGTCTGATTTTCAAGTATATGATCATTAGTCCGTTATTATGCTCCTAAATGTGTATACCAAACAAGCAATTTTCTTTACTTTTCTGCCAAAATAAACTTCTTACCAAAAATTCGAATGTCTACTTAAGACTCAATTCTAATTAAAAAGTCCTATTAAAAATAAGTTTTGTGTTTCTAAAAAGGATAATAAGGAGTAGACTTAGTGTGTGTCCTAAAAGGATTAAGGTTCTTAGGAAAACTGTACCAAAAATGGAACTCGCTCTTCGAGTTCACCAACAAGTTGTTCCACTTTTACTTTTTCGGTTTTGCATGGTTTCGTTTTTGAGGCTTTTACGCAGAAGTAAGAGATGGTGTAGCTTATCAATCATTGTCAGAGGCTGGGATGGGACGGAACGACTTTTGGCAGGGCGGCCCTCGACGTGCTAACCCCTTTCGCGTGAGAGTTCCGTCTTTGGTTCTCGACGCTCGGTCCCCTGCCCCCCTCCCCCTCGGTCCACCACTTAGGAAAACAAACCATCAATATTCGTGGCCATATACCTACTGATTTGCTTTTATCTTACCTTCCCGGCAAATGCAGACTCCAATTCGAAGAAATCGTGTCAAGGCTGCGAACTGCCCTCCGACGATATACCCGATTCCACGTCCAATTCTCGGGGACACAACAACAATACGCCGAGCGCCACCAACAACAACCCGAGTGCTGGAAGCCGTAAGTTGGGATATAGAAAATATTATTAAAATATTTGGTAACCCTTTCCAAATCTTTAGTAACACCCAACTCGTCCTTGGAAACGGGCATCTCCTCGAACCTGATGGGCAGCACCACCGTATCCGCATCGAATGTGATCAGCGCCGACTCCAGTGTGGCATCCAGTGTCAGCCTGGACGAGGACATCGAGGAGAGCAGTCCCATCAAGGTGAAGAAGAAAGACGATGGACAGGTGAGTAAAACATGAAGGGTTTTGCTGGAAAATGTCCTTGTTGCATCGATCCTAAACAGAAACTATGGATTCAATGCATCGACCAGGGTGTACATTTTTATAACGGTTTTCCCTTCTATACAAATTTTATACTATTAATGTTTAAATTTATACCTAAAGTCTTGAAAACCTGAAAACTGATAAGCAGCTTTGGGATTATTCCCTACATAAGAAAATTATTCTATTTAAATGTTAAAATATACTATTTAATTGTTAAAACTGCCTCAACCTATTGTTGCAACAAATTGTATTTCAAGAAGTTGTAGGTGCATTAATTTGCACGCGGAAAAGAGAACAAATTATTGGAAATTTCGTAAATAGTTTTTATACCCGTTACTCGTAGAGTAAAAGGGTATACTAGATTCGTGCAAAAGTATGTAACAGCTAGAAGGAAGCGTTTCCGACCCCATAAAGTATATATATTCTTGATCAGGGTCACTAGCCGAGTCGATCTAGCCATGTCCGTCTGTCCGTCTGTCCGTCTGTCCGTCTGTCCGTCTGTCCGTCTGTCCGTCTGTCCGTCTGTCTGTCTGTCTGTCTGTCCGTCTGTATGAACGCTGAGATCTCAGAAACTACAAAAGCTAGAAGGTTGAGATTTCCCACACATATTCTTTGGCTTCCTACGCAGCGCAAGTTTATTTTAGCCGAGCGCCACGCCCCCTCTAACGCCCACAATCGCCCACTAACGATTTTAAAATGGGTCCTGCGCCCACATCTTTAAAGATTTCCGAGAAGTAAAAATGCAATTTTGTTGTGTATATTTATACCTATCGAATTGTAGAACATTTTTCAAATCGGACCATTCATTAAAAAGTTATACGCAATCAAAATGTATATATCTATCTCCGTCGCACTCCCTTTAGCTGAGTTACGATTATTAGTCGGGACACCAACCCGAGTACAGCGTTCGCACTCCCTTTAGCTGAGTGACGGGTATTAGATAGTCGGGACACCAAACCGGTCTATGGCGTTCTCTCTTGTTTGTTTTCAAGTGATTGATTTCACGTAATTTTTTTGTGTGTGTGCTAAAAGCACTCGGAAACGCAATTAGTATATAGGACACCCTTAACATATATGTAGAGAGAAGACGTCCGTTGATTTTCATAGCAAAGTTTTATATTCTCTTATTGTTCTGTATTGCAGGTCATCAAAAAGGAGGCGGTGTCCACCTCGTCGAAGGCCTCGCCCTTTGGCTACGAGAACTCCACGCCCAGTCTGGTCAGCTTTCGACGGGACTCGGATGCCGCCGCCGTGGGAAATGCACCCGCCGGCAAGGCGGGAAAGAAGCGCTTTCAGAGTGCCGCCAATGCCATTGCCACGCCCACGCCTCTGACGGACAGCAACAGTGGACACGGAAATGGAAATGGAAATGGGGGTGGTGGTGGCGGCCCAGCTGGCGGCTACTTTCCAGGCTACTATCCTAGTCCCAAGCAGCAGCAGCAAATGCAGCAGCAGCAGATGCACCCGCAACAGCAGCAGCAGTCGCAGGACTATTACGGCAAATACGACATCGAGTTTGCCGATGGACAGGTGAGTTTTGTTGAAGTTTTTGCTGCAAAATGTCCTGGCTGCAAAAAAATTTATTCGACCTGGAGCAGAATTATTTATGACTTATTCATCCCTTTAATATTTAATTTTAAATTGCCTACAAATATAAAATATTAATTTTTTCAAAGTGCCTTGTAATTTGTGAATTATTTTTGTTTCACTTTGTCGATTTTTAATGGATGTGCAATTCACGGTGTGAATCAAGACAAAAACCCGTTATTCCACCACCTTACACATTTTTTTAAACATTTTTGTGGAGGACGTTTAACAGCTGTTAAAAACAAGAGAGAGTTAACATTAACTTAACATTAACATTAACAGCGAAAGCAGCAGGAGTATCTGAGTCCCAAACCAAATGCGGCCAACTTCCACCAAAACAGTCATCAGCAGCAGCAGGGCGATCAGTTCTACTACAACTACAACAACGACACCAACGGCGGCGCGTACCTGAGCCACCAGCAGCAGCACCACCATCAACAGCACCACCAGCAGCAGCAGCAACACCACCAAAGCCACAGCCATGTAGCCGATTTTGAACCGCCCGTCAACGGACCCGGCAACTTCAACAACGGCGCCTACTACGACAACATGAGTTTTCAACAACAGGCGCAGCAGCAGCACCAGTCGGTGGTGTTTCATCAGCAGCCCCATCAGCAAGCAGCGATCAATCACCAGTGAGTAGCCACAAACTTACATATTGGGTAAAACTACAAATTGCCAATAATTCATTTATTATTTTGATACGGACTGTACCTGGTTTCTGTCCTAGCTGTCACCAGTTTAAGCACTTTCCAGCACTGTTGTGGGTGTTGTCTTCGATAAACTCTAGCCAAAGTCCGAACCAAATGTGTTAATGTATTCGCTGGCCACATAGGTGGCGCCAGGATACATCCTCTTTAGTGCGCCTAATCGACAACGGAGGCCGCTGGTTAATTCCACTTTTCCGCTGGCCGATAAATCTGAAAATCGATAAAAAACGGTTATTATTTAAACCCACTTATTCGGCGCGCTAAATTTAAGAAAATGTATTAATTTTTTAAAAGTTGATATCACAACTTCTGTATGTGGAATGTGCGTTCGTCACTATTTTTTTAACTCGTCGAGAGGTGTTTTTGTTTGGTACAAATAATAATGTGTTGGGATATGCACATATTTATGATTAAATACGAGTTCTCATCCTGGCTCTTTTCACAGGCACATGCATCACCTGGGCCCCGGGGAGACATATAGTGCTCTAGGCCTGCAGATGGAGAACTGCGAGGGCTACAACAACTTCGGGGGCGCCGGCAGCGGGGGTGGCTACTACGAGGCGGGCCAACAGCCCCCCGGACCCGCCGCCCATGGCCACCACCCCCATCACCACGTGCAGGTGCCGGCGCAGGCGCACGCCCACATCCATGCCCACCACAATGCTGCGTCGATTCCCGGAGGAGTGGGGGTGGGGGTGGGAGTCGGACCTCCGCCATCGCACATCCACGGATTCGCCCTCAACGGGGGCCCCACTGGTCAGGGCCAGGGATTCGTGAATAATGGCAGCACTGCGGCCGGGGCGGCTGCGATCGGTGGACTGGAGAACTCGAATAGCTCCGACTTCAACTTCCTGAGCAACCTGGCCAACGACTTTGCGCCGGAGTACTACCAACTCAGTTAGTTCGTGTAGGCGGAGAGCCAGAAGAATGTGTAAATACGTCTTAGCCTAATTCGCCGCGTGGACGTCAGTCTTGTAATTCTATACAGTGTCGTAGCCTCCTAAGCACTTTGTCCGTAGCACATATCTGTAAATAATAAGTTAAAGATCGAAATCTAAACAGGAGTTCTATTCCACATTTTTAGGCTAAACAAATCGAAAAGGTCTTGCTTTCCTTTTGGCTCCAAGTCAAAAAGAAGGTCTATCTTGAAAATTCCATTTACTATAGAAATTAAAAAGAAGCCGAAATTGTAAATAGTTAGATAATTTCAAAAGCTTACACAACTGCTAATCAATGATGAATTAACTTTGATGAACTGTGTTTTGTAAATATCCAGAATAGCTTGAATCAAAACGTAAAAAGAAACTGTCATTAAATCTAATAACTAGAGGTAACTATTTGGGATCGCTACCGATTCAAGATTCAAATTTTGGTTTATGTAGAATCTTAAAGCACTCTCAATTATTTCAATGTTTGTCATGTTTGTATGTTGCTCTAAATTTTTCCATATTAGTAAACAAATATATATTATAAATATGAATATAAATATTGGCATAGATATCGTTGTAAGGAGAAAGAATAAAAATAATTAAGATACAAAACTTTCAGAATAAAAATATCTTTAAAAATATTCTCGATAGAAAGGAAAGTTATTTAGATTTTTAAGTACAGTTAAAGCCCTTTGGCAGAGCTTAAGATTTTAGAAGTGAAAATAACTGCGGCATTATGGTTCAATTTGATACGTTAAAAGGACATTTTTTTAACCAGATTCGGCGTGTTTTTAAAAAGGAATGCAATTTTATGGCAATTAATCTGGGTATTTCCTAAACTGTTGAATTGCTAAATTGTTGAAAATTCATCAGAAAATTTCAGAAATTCAGGGAACGACCAAAAAGGGTTTTCGTTGAATTTTCAAAACAGCTGATATTTGTTGAAAAATTCACGGAACTTATTACATGAAAAATTCCATTTTTTTTTTGTTTCTGTCTAAAACTCTTACCAAGGCAAGATAAACGAGAAAAAAAAAGACTTTCTAATTTGATTTTAGAACAACGGTCGGCAGCGCCCTATTAAGTGAGCATAGGGGTTTGTTCTGCCGGCGCGCTGCTTGCACCTGTATAACGTAAAACAGCGGTCTGCACACACACATCGATAAGCTGCCCAGTGCAAATTACTCACACAAATATAAAACAAAATGTCAACGTATGTGTGTGCCGACCGCTGTTTTAGAACAAGAGAGAACGCTATATTTGTGTGCCCCGACTATCAGATACCCGTTACTCAGCTAAAGGGAGTGCGAGGGAGATAGAGATATAAAACTTTGAGTTTCTTCTTCATTTCGTTAAGTATTGATAAACACAATAAAACTGAATTTTTAATTTTCCGAAATATTTAAAGGTGTGGACGCCAGACACCATTTAAAATCGCTCAAGGCAATTGTGGGCGTTAGAGGGGGCTTGGTCCTCGGCTGAAACAAACTTGCGCTGAGTAGGAAGCCCAATAATATGTGTGGGTAGTCCCAACTTTCTAGCTTTTGTAGTTTCCGAGATCTCAGCGTTCATAAAGACGGACAGACAGTGACCCTGATCAAGAAAATATATTCTTTATAGTGTCGGCTATGCTTCCTTATAGCTCTTACATACTTTTGAATACTTGGAATAATGCGAACTGATTAAAATGTTGCAGAGTTGCCACCATTTTTAGTAAAATAAGATGACAACTCTGGTTTTCAACGATTCGACAATATTTTCAACACGTATTTCCTAGACTGTTGAATTGAACTCTGAATATAAAATGATACACTGATTAAAAGTACTGAAAATACGGTAGCGACATTCCCCGTTCCTTTCTAGCACATGTATTTACTATGGAGAAAAAGTGGCTGAGGCGGAATTTGGTCGCTTAAGCAGAAACCTCCTCTGTGTGAACACGCTATTAGGCCACACACAAAAAAATTGTATTTTGTTGTTGTGATATGACTATTAACTTAGTAGAATTGACAATTTTGCTGGTTGGGGCCTGTTTGACAATTATTACAGTTGATTTTACCAAGTTTTTTTTTGTGTGTAGTAACAGCGAACAGAGCGATAGCGAAGGCGGGATGGAATCGGATTAATGCCTGTATTATTTAAATCATCGATTTTCATTTAAAATTATGTTTTTCACTAATAAATTCTAAGTTATACATATAAACTTTTTTTATTTAATAAATATAAGCAATACAAGGTTTTTCCAATTTTTAGCATATTATTTTTGGCGCATATTCACTATAAAGTCCATCAATTCTTAGTATTCTTAATATACATAGTCTGAAGAATACATAAACGAGTCGGGTAAAATATTAACGCTATAAATGAAAAATTACCAATTTTTTGGTAAAAATTCCCGAAGTTACGGAAAATTTTCCAAAGAAAAATAATTTAAAAAAAAAATACTCTACGGAAAGTCCAAACGTTATTTGTTTTTACTTTTCTTGATAAAATACAAAATACAAAATTATAACATGTTCAAATTTTTTGTGTGCGACGCTGTTGGCCAGATGACGATAACCGGTCTAGTATGGTGTAGTATTTTCCGCTCGAAATTTGGTAATTTTTGTCAAACTTTTGTATTTTCGTACGTAAAAATGGAAAAAGAAAAAAAAATTAAGGGCACCGCGGCTCGAGGCTAAACGCCCCAGATTTGCTTATGGGACCGAGACGAAGTCTCAGAAGCAAAAAGTCCAGGAGCAGATGAAGGAGGTGGAGGCGAAAATACAGCTGAACTCCATCAAGCAGGCTTTTATGGATGGCTTAAAAGCAAAATTGAGACACAGGACCATAGCAGCGCCAGCTCCATCAGCCATCAGCGGAACTTCCGGCTTTGAAAATGCTCGAAAAGCCGTTGACAGACGTGCTGGCGATGGTGGAAAACAACACCAACAACACCACCTACACCTGCGTGGCAAAGTGCGGTGAGAAGACCCTTTTTTGTGAGGTCTCTGTCCATGTGCCGGGCGCGGCTGAAGAGGCCCAGGACTGGAAGTCGCCTTCGACAGCCACAGCAGATCCAGAACAGAAGAACCTACCCGTTTTTCGTTTTGAAATCAAAACTAGATGCCAAAATACCATCATCACTTGCAGATGCCATTGTTCTCCTGCGACAACATGTCGAAAAAGAAATTCAGCCCGAAAAGTGCGAACCACTTGTGTATTGGAAGGTAAATGTATAAACTAAGACTATTTTTTCTTTAAATATAACAAGAATCTTATTTCAGATGTCAACGGATGAAGCATTTAAAAAGTTGTCAAAGAAGTTTTTCTGCGTTCCCGCTTCTTCGTGTGAGTCCGAACGCGTTTTTAGCAAGGCTGGGCAGTTAATATCCGATCGTCGCACTAGACTTTCTTCTTCGGTAGTTTCGGTAGTAGACAAACTGTTGTTTCTGAACAAAAATCGTCATTTAAACGAAACATAGTAGAGCTGGAAATAACATCGGCGATGTATCGATACATCGATGGTTTTCCAAAACATCGAAACATCGAGGTTAACAAACATCGATGATTCCTCTTCATCCATCACTACTTTGCATGGAAGAATCTTGGTAAGCTGAACGCATTTTTGATCAATTAAGAGAATAAAAGTAAAATATACGATACAATTATTGTAGATTTTGATTGTTTTTTGTGTGTTTTTTTTTGGGCAAAACTCGATTGCTTTTTACCTCTGCTTAAATTTAGTTTAAGTTTAAATATTCAGAAAATAAAAAGAATTGATTTCAAATATAGCGTAACTTTTTATAATGGAGTAAAAACATTTTGTCAAATTATACCAAAAAAATTCGATGTATCGATACATCGATGTTTATTTCTGAAACATCGACATCAACATAAAGTAAGAAACTATTAAGAGGCACCATTTGCTCTGCCGCTCTCTTCGGCAAATTCGCCATGCAGCCTAGGCGAAAAATGAAAAATTCCCTAATTTTTCATATGTTCGATTCAAACATGCATTTTGGGCCCATGGTGAGTTTTATGGGATTTTATATATCTGCACCGCTCTCACTCACTGTTTTGTTTTTTATGTAGTCTCTTACTCAGGGACCGTAACTGTTATGAGTTTTATTTTAAAAATCACATTTTAACAGTTATTTTCTGATTTGTAAAGTAAAACTCAAAGAATAACTGTTATTTTTTTGAGTTTTATAATAAAAGTTGACAAATAACAGTTATTCGTCAGATCAAAATTAAAACTCAAACTTGATTTATGGCGATTTTGTGGGTAAAATAAATTTTTAAAAAATATAGTTATACAATATGCGCGGTTGGCTTTTTTTTAAGATTTTTAGTAAGTTTATAAAACACGGTTAGCATGTTTTTTTTTAAGTTATTTTATTTTTTCAGAAATAACTGTTATTCATAAAAATCAACAAATAACTGTTATTTTTTGAGTTTTATTATAAAAATCAAATAAATAAAAATCATTACGGATTTGTAAACTACAATGGCTAACAAAAATAGTGGTGTATTTAAAAAAATTTTAGGACTCTTCTAAGTGCATGATTTTTTTGGTATGAAAAATTTACAATAACAGTTATTTTCGGTCCCTGCTCTCACTAATGGTGCTGTTGCTTCGCACATGTTGGATGCGGTAGAAATCAATGTTCGCTTCGAACTTGGCCTTCAATTGGCTCTCAGCAGAGCTTGGGCAGAGGTTCTCTGGATTTCACTCCATTTCTTGCGCACTGTTAACCCCCATACTACACACAAAAAAATTTGCTTGGTAAAATTGACCAACAAAGATAGTTACGTAACTATTAAAATAGTTACGTGTATTTTGTTTTTGCTTTGGGTTTGTGTCTTTGCTAATTGTGTGTATTTTGTTGTTGTGAAATGACAATTTACTTAGTAGAATTGACAATTTTGCTGGTTGGGGCCTGTTTGACAATTATTACAGTTGATTTTACCAAGTTTTTTTTTTTGTGTGTAAAACCTCAAACCGAATTCGGGCGCTGCAATGGTGCCTCTATATATATAGAGAGAGATTATAGTTTCTTATGCCGTCAGTCTTTTGATCGCGGACCAAAATATATCTCTATGTCTTCTCTTACTACTTTGGAAAACTCTTTCCATTTTCTTAAGCTCTTACGCTCGCTCTGCCTCTCTCGCTCAGACCTAGCGTTTTGATTGCACTTCACGTTGTTTTCGATTGACTTGTCTATTCTTCCAAATAAAAAAATATTGTAACCAGTTTATTAATTAATTAAATTAAATAAAGTTTTTTTTATATTAAACTTATGGTGGATGGAGCTCTGTCGGAAGCCAAACCGACAGGAAAAACACAAAGTAGACTTTCATAATGTCAAAAGCTCTGCCAACTCTAAACTAAACTCAACAAAGATTCACACACCGTTACATATTAAATGGTTTACTTTCTGTTACAATACCTTGTATTTTACAGCTTATGTTTATTAATTCAATTCTTTCATTTTGGTTAGGTAGGTATCTCGTCCATGTTGTTTTATTATCAAGACTTTTGACTTTAAAATAAAATCCACTCTTTAAAG